TGATTCAATTGAAATTTTCATCTAGTTACATGCTACCATCCAATCAATTGTAAGAGAATAGAACGACATCCTCGAATTCTTTAGCAGTTGACGCCCATAAAGCGACCAAGAACTTTACTCTCTCCCAAAGGAACTCCACAATTTCATCTTTGCTTCGAAAATTCTCCTATTCCTCTCCAACCATACCACCCAAAAAATTGTCATAACCTCACACTCCCATAAAATAAAATGTCTTCTGCTCTTTCCAAACACACTTTTATTTATTTCGAACAATGATACACATTCATTTGGAGTGACCCAACTCAAATTAAATTCACTATGAGCTCTAAACCACAACCTTAGAGCAATCGGAAAATGTAGAAAGAGATGATCTACACTTTCACTAGTACACTTACACATAATGCACCATTGTGGAGCAAGACAACCATTTGGTTTTTTCCATTGCAACAAATCGCTAGTGTTGATCTTTCCATGAGCTACAGTCCAAGCAAAAAACCTACACTTTCACAGGCACTTTGGCCTTCCAATTTTCTGATGAGGTTCAAACAGAGTGGACTAGTCATCAATCAAAGCATAGAAATACGATTTGCAAGAAAAGCCTCTAGATGAATGAAGAATCCAAATTCTTTTATCCCTTACCCTTGGATTTAAGGAAACCAATTGAAGTAGAGACAACAAAAATGAGAGCTTAAACACAACCCTATCATTCAAGGCTCTAAAGAAATTAAAACTCTAACCCCCTTTACTTGAAGAATCACAATAAATACTAGCAATTGAGGCTTCTTGAGACCGAGTCAACCTAAAAAGACATGGAAAGGACTCTAAAAATGAAGGCTCATCCAATCATATATCCTTCCAAAACTGAATTCTCTCACCATTTCCCATACCTACTCTAACATACTTCATGAACTCTTCTACACCCAGTGAAATGAATTTCAAAGACACTAAAAAAAGTCCCTAACCATCACATTCGAGTTTCAACCATTTGGATGTAGTCCGTATTTGCTTTTAATAAATTCATGCCATAAAGCACCCTGTTCAATTAGAAATCTCCATAACCACTTACCTAACAAAGCAATATTTCTCTTTACTAAATCTCCCACCCCCAAACCTCTATTACTCCTTGATTTGGAANACCACTTACCTAACAAAGCAATATTTCTCTTTACTAAATCTCCCACCCCCAAACCCCTATTACTCCTTGATTTGGAAAGTAACCCCCACCTAACAAGATGATCTTTTTTCCCTTTACAGGTTCCTTTCCCTAAAAAATATCTCATCAATTTTTCAATTATACAAGCAATCTTTCTAGAAATCTTAAAAGTGTCNAACCACTTACCTAACAAAGCAATATTTCTCTTTACTAAATCTCCCACCCCCAAACCTCTATTACTCCTTGATTTGGAAAGTAACCCCCACCTAACAAGATGATCTTTTTTCCCTTTACAGATTCCTTTCCCTAAAAAATATCTCATCAATTTTTCAATTATACAAGCAATCTTTCTAGAAATCTTAAAAGTGACAAAAAGGTAAATGGGAATACTAGACAAAACTGATTGTAACTAATGCGTGTCTCCCTTCTCTTGACAAACAAGCCCTTTTTCACCTCTCTAATCTCTTTTTGACCCTCTCAATGACCACCGACAAAATATTTGCCCCTAATGGTGCCCCAAGTACTTTAGGGGCCACTCCCCAATCTCGCACCCTACACTATTTGCAATCCTATTTAGTCTCTCTTTTTGGATGTTAATTTCTACTTTTAAACTCTTCAAACGTATTTTTTTTCAAACCCGACATCTCTCTAAAAACCTCAATAACCTCTGTTACGTTCTTAAATTTTTCCTTGTCCCTNAAACGTATTTTTTTTCAAACCCGACATCTCTCTAAAAACCTCAATAACCTCTGTTACATTCTTAAATTTTTCCTTGTCCCNACTCTTCAAACGTATTTTTTTTCAAACCCGACATCTCTCTAAAAACCTCAATAACCTCTGTTACGTTCTTAAATTTTTCCTTGTCCCTCTTAACATAAAAAATATAGTATCATCTGCATATTGTAAATATTACACCTTCACCAAATTCCTCTCTACCCTAAATCCCTCTATAAGATTATAATCTCTAGCCCTATCCACTAACTTACTAAGCTCATCTGTTACTAAAGTAAAGAGAAAATGTGACAATGGATCCTCCAGCCCTAGACCTCTAGTGGCATTAAATATTCCATGTGACATTCCATTAAGAACCACTAAAAAATTCATCGAGTCTAAACACCCTCTAATTCACTTCCTCCTCCTACATCCAAAACCCTTGGCTTCTAAAGCAAAGTCCAAAAAGTCTCAATTCACATGGTCATATTCTTTTTTAAAATCAATCTTAAAAACCACCCCATTGTTCCCATTGGCTCTGTATTCCTTCACAACTTCATTCACAATTAGAACTATATCATTTGCCTCTCTTTAACAAGAGTCCCTTGATACATAGAAATAGTATCCCCCAAAACCTCTCTCAACCTTCCTGATAAAACTTTTGCTAAGATCTTATAAAGGACTAGTAGTCACTATACTTATTGGTCTAAAGTCACTTATTTTCAAAGAATCATGCCTTTTTGAAATCAAACTAATATACGTCGCATTCGTATTAGCATTCACCACCCCATTTCTAAAGAATTCCAACACCCTCGTCAAATCATCCTTAAAGATCTCTCAACAATATTAAAAAACTGATATTGAGAAACCATCCGGACCAGATGACTTCTCCTTATTACACTCAAAAATTGCCTCCTTTACTTCGTCCTTTCAAATGGTCTTTCAAGCCAAGACGCTCTCTCTTCACTAATATGACTCCAATCCAAACCCATCACCTTTGGTCTCTCAACAACATTAGTCGAATATAACATCTCGAAAAACCTAATAACTTATTCCTCAATTCTCCCTTCATTCTCTAACATTATACCATCTCCCACATCCAACTTTGAAATAAGGTTTTTCTTTCTCCTCCCATTTGCAACCCTATGAAATAACTTGGAATTATTATCTCCCTCTTTAACCTAATTTATCTTGGCCTTTTCTATCCATGAAATCTCTTTTTTAAACACCACTTCCTCAAATATATTTCTAAGCATACTTTTTTCCCTCCTTAAATCCTCACTCAATCCCCCCTCATACTCAACCCTATCTAATTCTGCTATACGATTGCAAATTTTGCTCTTTTTTATCCTAACATCCCCAAAAACTTCTCTATTCCACACTTTCAACTCCTTTTTGGCTCTCTCCAATTTCTTCATGAACTTAAAACCTTCTCATTCATGCACTAAAGAACTTTTCTACCAATTTCTATAACTTCTTTTAAACAAAGATTGTTCTAACCACATATTCTTATATCTAAATGGAATAGGGCCCCACTTGAAAGCATCAGAATCTAACATGATGGGACAATGATCATATACAACCCTAGCAAGTGCATCAAGTTTCACATTTGGGAAAAGTTCCTCCCACCAGCAGAGAACAAAAATTTGTCTAATCTTCTACAAACCATGTTCATCCTACAGTTCGACCAAGTGAAAAGTGCATTACTTAAAAGAAGAATCCATCAAATTTTGTTTCCCTAATTAACTCATTAAAATCTTTCATATTTATAGTGACACTACCCCCATTCAATTTTTTGATGCAAATCTAGTGACATTAAAATCACCACCCCAAGCACCACTTAGAACCACACAAGACATACAACCCTGCTAGCTCATCCCAAAAATCCCTCCTAAAACAGGGCTTGTTTGGACCATAAACCCCGACAACAACCAGTTTCTTCCATCTTTCATGCTAAAGTGAACTAAAATTGAATAAACTCCTAAAAGTGACTCTAAAGCCTAATACAATCCTTGTATCCCACATAATAAGAATGCCACCCGCCCTACCACACAAAGGCAAAAAGACCGACTCCTTAAACCTAATCCCCCAAACATTTCCGTATCATTCTACAAGTAATGTCTTCCTTTTTGGTTTCTTGTAATTTTACAATGTCTGGATCATTTTTAATTAACACATCCCTAACTACTGTTTGCTTTTTCCTACATCCTAGACCTCTTTCATTCTAACTAAGGATTTTTATTAAAACCAATTTTCACCCCATTCTCCTTCCTACTTTTATTGCCCTCATAATTTACCCTAGATTTCAAATTTTTCTATTATGTTACCCTTTTCCTTACCCTTGTTCCTTTCCCTTTTACATTTTTCTTACTCTTTCCTTTGACAGGCACCAAATATAAGTTCATTGAAGCCAAGAAATCTGTCAATATACCCCACCCTTTCTCATCAAAGAGAAAATCCCCTTTCAATCCCTCTGACCCAACCACATTATGAGATGAACTCCTACCCAATTCCTGAACCTACTCTAACTGCTGTCCAACTTCTACTACAACCAAATCCCACCCACCCCACCCCA